CCCCTCCCTCGGTGGGAGAGGCCGTTTGTTGAAAAAAAAAAAAAAAAATGATGACTTGACTTACGTGTACCAGTGAGAGAGAGAGAGAGAGAGAGAGAGATACAGAGAGACAGCCACATTTGGTCAGCCAACTACCCACCCACCCATCCAGTGACCCACCCACCCGGCCAACCACAGACCCGGCCACCCAGCCAGCCAGCCGGATACGTATTATACATGTTCCAGAGTTGTTTCTCTTTACTTAGGGTATAGGTTACACAACATTCTAGCAGGATGACACTACCAGTGGTATTCTCCCATTCCACTGTGTCGACAATACATAAAAATAATAGTAACGTATGATACTGTATGCGATGTAAAATTTACAATACATATCACTACCATGTATACATTATACACAGTGCATAAATAATTAAAATAATAGAAGTAAATTATGGTAAAAAGAATGAAATAATGATTGTACATTACATTACAGTATTATGTAGGTAGTTTATATAGGAAAGTTTTGACATTATGCCCTACCCAGTAAGTCGGCAATTTTCAAAGGTTCGACTTACGTCCATTTCGACTTACGACCGGTTGGTCGTAAGTCGGATGGTAGGTGTATCTGAAAACATTCACTTCTTCCATACTCCTCCTCCCCAATTTGATATCCAATTTTTCTTTATCTAAATCATTTGATACCCTCATCACCTTACTCTTTTCTATGTTCACTTTCAACTTTCTACCTTTACACACACTCCCAAATTCGTCCACTAACCTTTGCAATTATTCTTTAGAATCTCCCATAAGCACAGTATCATCAGCAAAAATTAATTGTTACTTCCCATTTTGTATTTAATTCCGCGTAATTTAATCCCACTCCTTTCCCAAACACCCTAGCATTTACTTCTTTTACAACCCCATCTATAAATATATTAAACAACCATGGTGACATTACACATCCCTAAGACCTACTTTTACTACGAAGTAGTCTCCCTCCCTTCTACACACCCTTACCTAAGCCTATCCTCATAAAAACTCTTTACAGCATTTAGCAACTTACCACCTATTCTATATACTTGCAACATCTGCCACATTGTTCTCCTATCCACTATCATATGCCTTTTCTAAATCCATAAATGCAATAAAAACTTCCCTACCTTCATCTAAATACTTCTCACATATATGCTTCAATGTAAACACTTGATCTACATATCCCCTACCCACTCTAAAACCTCCTTGCTCATCCACAATTCTACATTCTGTCTTACCTCTAATTCTTTCAATAATAACCCTACCGTACACTTTTCCTGGTATACTCAGTAAACTTGTTCCTCTATAATTTTTACAATCTCTTTTGTCCCCCTTCCCTTTATATAAAGGGACTATACACACTCTCTCCCAATCCCTAGGTACCTTCCCCTCTTTCATACATTTATTAAACAAAAATATCAACCACTCCAACACTTGTCCCCCCCTGCTCTTAATATTTCTGTCATGATCCCGTCAGTTCCAGCTGCTTTACCCACTTTCATTCTACGTAATGCCTCACGCACCTCCCCCACACACACATCCTGTTCTTCTTCACTCCAAAAGATGGTATACTTCCCTGGCCAGTGCATGAAATTACTGCCTCCCTTTCTTCGTCGACATTTAGAAGTTCCTCAAAATATTCTCGTCATCTACCCAATACCTCCATCTCCCCATCTACTAACTCCCCTACTCTTGGAGGTTATTATACTAATTTATAAAACAGATGACAGAAAAGTTCAATGGTAACTCACTGAAGAGACTAAATTTTTTATTTATCCTAGACTACTGTAAATTCACAACTGAGCAAAAAGAGTAATGGCCAGAAGACAGGTCAGAAAGAGGAATCGGAAGTAGGTTGCAGTAACAGTCTTCTAATCTTCACTCTTTCTTACTTAGTTGTTAAGCACTATAATGGCCAGGGAAAACCAAAATCATCTTAAATTTCCAAGTGGGTGTTACTAATAAATTGTCCCAGTCATGGTATTGTAACATTCAAGAAAAAAAACAAACAGATTTTCCTTCATATTTTGAGTCCTTTCAAAAACCTATGTATAATTTAAATTTATGGGTTGCTCAGCAATAAGTGATCATCAAATTCAACAAACTAGGATTATCGCATTAAAATAAATATAGGTCCTACTACATCATTAGCAACTTGTGAAATTGGAGGGATGCATGCAGTGAACAAGTGATATCAGCTGGAGTCTGCCTTCAATGTTTATATCATATGCAGCCTGAATGGCACTTGGCAGTACCTATTACTATGACTGAGTAAGACTGGTTATAAATGACCATAATTTTTAAAGGGGTGGACCGGTAAGCCAGCGGAAGGCCTCGGTCAGATGACCAAAAGCTCCAAAGGCGGGTCATCATCTGACTAAGACCCGCGTCAGGAAACATTTATCCTGTTTCCTGACGAACCTTACCTAACCTAACCTATAACTGAGTTTGCTCATGGTCCATAAATCTTTCGAATACAGTGCTTAATATTCAAAATGCTGTTTGGAAGCCCAGTAAGAAGTGAAACTGGGATGAAAAAATTAAACTGCTCATTTCTGAACTGCAACTTGCAAAGTTGAAAGGTGAAACACAGTTTTTCAATACATGAAAATATATTTTTTATCTTCCTTGTACATTTTGCTTAAAAGACTTGCATGAGCTCGATGTCTAATACTGGATCATCTTTATAATTCTACACTAGTCATCATTCAAATCACTGCAGGAGAAAATAATACTATGTATGGAACTCAAAATTATTCTTATTTTAAATGACATTCAGCCTTTAACAGAAGCAGATACAGTGGAATGATTACAGTGAGGAGCTTGGCATTAAGCCTCATCAAATAAGCTTACTAACTAGCCTGACATCAAGTTGACATAAGCTTTCATTGAATACTTTTGACAATGTGTGTGTCATACATACACATGCTTTTTTAATTTACATACATGTGCACACTCATCCACAATGTGTACATCTACTCCAGTAGCTATAAATAGGTAACTGCAAAGAGGTAATTTTGCACACTGACAGGCCACCGTGAGCATAGTTCTTTTCCTGTACACACACAGTTAATACACGCATACTGGTAATTTTACAAACACATACACGCGCGCGCACACACATGCACACACGTACGCACACATATGCACACATACGCGCACACACACACACGCACGCATGCACACACACACCAAACAACAGGTCAAGTGTCTATTGACAAGTACCTTTGACAATTAGTAACTACTATTACTACTACTACTACTACATGCAAACTGGTGTCAGAGTCGAGGGGAATGTGCTATGAGGAAAGAACAAGAACTAGGCCTCTTGCCTTGGAAGAATGAAGAAAGGGGGATATGACCACGACATACAAATTAATCAGTCAGGAATCATGAATCAAGAATAAGAGGCAATGCTAGAAATTACACACCCAAATAAGTATAGTGAAATGAATGGGACAACAACACAGTGGATGCTAACTCCATACATGGGTTCGTAAGTAATTATGACAAAGCCACTTAAAGTCTGTTGAAAGCAATGATATGGAACAAAGAATTAGAGCTCCCCTGCCAACATAAATAGGAAAAAAAAAAGTTGCTCACATGCGCACACGCATGCACACACTAATTTTAGTTTGTCACACCTGTAATTAGATGATAAACTTTTCCACTGATCCTTTCCTTTCAAGTGACATTTTTCCTCAAATAATTAAAATTGTCAAATCTTAACATTCAAATGGAGCAAAGTGAAAGCTTGATGCAATATTGAAGACAGTAGTCTTAATTAGAAACTCAAGAACTTCAATATGAAGTTGAGATCTACACTTAGCACGTATGATTATGTACAAATATTAACGCTTTCTATGCTGCACTGAAATGCTTTAACATTTATCCCTGACAGTTTGGGCCTTTTATCTATGCTCACAACTGACAATCTATTAGTAGTATGAAGAAGGAAAAAAAAAAAAATTCCACAATCTCATCTTGAGGTCAAAATAAACTTGAGGAGTGCTATCAGCATAGGCTGTTCCTACATGTGCTGATAATGTTTCAAGAGAGTGGAGCCAAATTCTTAATCACTATATAAATACTAGTTTTTCATCAAGGTTTAGTTTAATATTCAAGAGGTAAAAGACAATCAACTCTCTGGAGTTAGATGTTAACTTGAATAGAGAAAACTATTTTATAGCTGACAAAGAATTTGACCATATTTTGTGTCTAGAATTACCATTTCAATGATCAGAGTCAATTTACAAAATACATATTTTAGATCCTTCTTTTTCAAGGCAATAGCTCAGTATACATTCCTATCAATCAATTCTTAATGATCATGTTAAAAATGTGTAGTGCATAATTCACAAAGATTTCTTCATACGCTAACTTCTTGATTAGCCTATTAAGTGCTGTCCTCATACAAACAGAAATATTAGATCCTAAGCTAATTAGTCAACATCCATTGGTTCTGTAGGCTTTTCATTAGATTGCTCCTGCTCTTGTCCATTAATCTTTGGCCCATTAGGTTGCTCACCCTCTGCTTTGTCTTCCTCTTTCTTCTCTGCTGGTGGAGGCTCTTCCACCTGCAACAAGCACACATTGTATGATCTGCATATTTTTTTTTATCAGATACAGTGGTATATCGAGTTTTGAACAGATCCCAACTCGAACAATTATTTTAGTGTATTTTTATAAGTGCTTTTGTAAGTGTATTTTTGGGGGTCTGAAACGGACTAATCTAATTTACATTATTCCTTATGGGAACAAATTTGTTTGGTATCAGAACTCGAACAGCCTTCTGGAACGAATTCTGTTCATAACTCGAGGTACCATTGTACTTACAACCATTAGATCACAAACTTTGCCGCTCAACTAAAATAACAAAAACATTACCAATTTCAAGCACAATCCCTTAATAAGCACAACAACCATTTACTATAACACACTTTTAAACTCAATCCTATTCAAGATTATTCCCCATTGTAATGTACATCTAAATTCCTTGATATACCAGTATACAGATGCACTCTGCACATAAATGACAATCCAAGAAAGGCAAATAGAAGAAAGAAAAAATACAATAAAAATTAATTATTTATAAACTGTAAAAAGACATTAGAAAAGGTCAACTGAATTATGGTTTCAAATGACAGAGCATTCAGATTTTGACAAGTCACTGGAGGTTCTTTTTGTTGTATCAATCTGAAAGATTATACTTATATTATTTTTATCTAGGTCATGCAGCAGCTCACATAAATACCCTATTAAGTCCTGAAACAAGAAGAATCACTTTTGCCACTCCCTATAAACCAACACAAACCACATTTGTTTGTTGCTCAAGCCTCTAGCACTCAACACCACTTTTGCCCCTCCAACCTTTCCTGGGATACCCTCTTCTCTCCACTCAGGATTTATATATCCTCTGTCATCCTATGCTGTTCCATCTTCTCAATGTACAAACAGTAATCTCACACTATCTTAGTATTTTCTAGGCTCTAGTCTCAATGTTCATACCACACTTTGCTCTAAAACCTAAAATTTCCACTGCCCAAAGTCTCTTCCTTGCTGCAATGCTTGAAGCTCATACCTTACACCCATATGAAAGTGCTGATATATTATTCTTTTTGCCCCATGGATTAAACTTCTTTCCAATGATGTCCCAACACCCCACCTCCCTTTTCCTCATTTATTCTATTGCTCACCTCATCTTCCATAAACCCATCTATGAAGATGTCCACTCTCAAATGCTTAAATATATTAGCTACCTCCATATTCCTTTCTCTCTTTTCATTGCCTCAACATTTTGTTACTCTAAACACTGCTTTATTATATGTTAACTTTTTCTTATTTTACACATCCAATTTCATCCACCATCCTTTGCAACCCTCCCTCCTCCCTGGAGAGAAAAGTAAAATTCATTATCTTTTTATCCCACACCACTCCAACAGCCTAACATTTCCTTCTTTAATAAACAAGTTTAACCATCAGTGACATCACATGTTCCTGCCTAGGTTCCATTTTTACCTGAAAAAATATTTTCCCTTCTATCCCACAAACCCTAACCTGAGCCTTAAATTATGCAAAAATCTTTACTGCTTTTGGTAACCTGCCACAAGGGTCCTCAATCCACCCTATCACATGTTTTTTCTAAATTCATGAAAGTGAAACAGTACATTACTCTTGTTTAGGTTATTGTTCACCTATATGCTTCAATGTAAAACCTATATGCTTCAATGTAAAATACTTGATCATAACATACCTTATCCTACCTAAACTCTAAGTTCTCGTAGCCATATTGTAATAATAATAATAGTAATAATAATAATAGTAATAAATAATAATAATAATAATAATAATAATAATAATACTACGACTACTACTACGACTACTACTACGACAACTACTATGACAACTACTACGACAACTACTACGACAACTACTACGACAACTACTACGACAACTACTACGACTACTACTACGACTACTACTACTTCAGCATGATACAATGTTGTACAAAGGTGAGTGACAATTAGGTGTGCATGCAGAAAGTCCCTTGTTATGCAGAGCATTTCGGGCAAACTTAGGACTAACTTAAGATTAATAGATATTATTTTTTTATTTATTATCACACTGGCCTATTCCCACCAAGGCAGGGTGGCCCAAAAAGAAAAACTTTCACCATCATTCACTCCATCACTGTCTTGCCAGTAGGGTGCTTTACACTACAGTTTTTAAACTGCAACATTAACACCCCTCCTTCAGAGTGTAGGCACTGTACTTCCCATCTCCAGGACTCAAGTCCAGCCTGCCGGTTTCCCTGAACCCCTTCATAAATGTTACTTTGCTCACACTCCAACAGCACGTCAAGTATTAAAAACCATTTGTCTCCATTCACTCCTATCCAACACGCTCACGCATGCCTGCTGGAAGTCCAAGCCCCTCGCACACAAAACCTCCTTTACCCCCTCCCTCCAACCTTTCCTGGGCCGACCCTATCCCCCGCCTTCCTTCCACTACAGACTGATACCCCTCTTGAAGTCACTCTGTTTTGCCCATTCTCTCTACAACGCGAACCCACCTCAACAACCCTTCCTCAGCCCTCTGGACAACATTTTGGTAATCCCACACCTCCTCCAAACTTCCAAACTACGAATTCTCTGCATTATATCACACCACACATTGCCCTCAGACATGACATCTCCCACTGCCTCCAGCCTTCTCCTCGCTGCAACATTCACACCCATGCTTCACACCCATAAAGACGTTGGTAAAACTATACTCTCATACATTCCCCTCTTTGCCTCCAAGACAAAGTTCTTTGTGTCCACACAACTCCTAAGTGCACCACTTACCCTTTTCCCCTCATCAATTCTATGATTCACCTCATCTTTCATAGACCCATCCGCTGACATGGCCACTCCCAAATATCTGAATACCAAAACTGTTGTCCAGAGGGCTGAGGAAGGGTTGTTGAGGTGGTTCGGACATGTAGAGAGAATGAGCGAACAGAAATGACTTCAAAAATGTATCAGTCTGTAGTGGGAAAGGAAGGCGGGGTAGGGCGGCCTAGGAAGGGTTGGAGGGAGGGGGTAAAGGAGGTTTTGTGTGCGAGGGGCTTGGACTTCCAGCAGGCATGCGTGAGCGTGTTTGATAGGAGTGAATGGAGACAAATGGTTTTTAATACTTGACGTGCTGTTGGAGTGTGAGCAAAGTAACATTTATGAAGGATCAGGGAAACCGGCAGGCCGGGCTTGAGTCCTGAGATGGAAGTTACAGTGCCTGCACTCTGAAGGAGGGGTGTTAATGTTGCAGTTTAAAAACTGTAGTGTAAAGCACCCTTCTGGCAAGACAGTGATGGAGTGAATGATGGTGAAAGTTTTTCTTTTTCGGGCCACCCTGCCTTGGTGGGAATCGGCCGGTGTGATAATAAAAAAAAAAAAATAAATTCACCTCCTCCATACTCTCTCCCTCCAATCTGATATCCAATCTTTCATCACATAATAGATATCAGCAACAAAGCTGCTGTATATTTCAATTTTATGTAACATGTTGCCCACAGCTTACTTACCATTTCTCCCACCATACATCTGAAAACTAATTTATAGTCTACCAATACATCTTGAAATACTATTTTTAAGTAACAAACTTTCCAGATTTTCTTCCTAAACAGATGTAACATGCAATCTTTTACAAGAGAGAACAGCAAACATTAACTGGCATGCAATCATGCAAAACTTGGCCTAACACATCGAAGTATCAATAAGCATCAACACGTTTTGCTACTGCTGCAAATACAGTAGGGCCCCACTTATAAGGCAGGTTAGGTTCCAGGATACCACTGGAATAACAAAAAAGGCACAATACCGTGACTGGAACGATACACAAATAACCCGCACATAAAAGAGAGAAGCTTTCGACGACGTTTCGGTCCGACTTGGACCACTGACAAAGTCACACTGACTTTGTCAATAGTCCAAGTCGGACCGAAACGTCGTCGTAAGCTTCTCTCTTTTATGTGCGGGTTATTTGTATACCACTGGAAAGCAGAATAGTATTTTTCCACTTATAAATGCATATAAATGCTAGATAACAAGTTTACACTAACATATATTAAGTAAGCAACACAACTAGGCATTAAAAACAATAAAAGTAAAATACACACACATTACTCATTACTTACCTTAAAATATCTGTAGTCTTTACCCTTTCACTGCACGAAAAATTAAAAAATTTCTTATGAAATGATAGAGAATCTTTTCCCAGTGGTAATGACACAAAAGTAAGAAATTTGATGGAAAACTTATGGAATTATGCTCTCGCAAAGTTAGTGATCTTGGCGATATTTAAGTATCAATGATTTTGCGATTTTAGCTCGATCGCTAGAGCACTCAGCTCGCACACTGAGGTCCGGGGTTCGAATCTCATCCAGTATGGCTGGAAAACATTAAGAATGTGTTTCCACAAGACACCTGCTGTCCCTGTCCCTGTTCACCCATCAGTTTAAAATGGGTACTTGGGTGTTAGTCGACTGGTGAGGGTCGCATCCTGGGACAAAACTGACCAAAATTTTTGCCCAAAATGCTCAGCATAAAAAGCGGCTTTCTATATGCTAGATATGTCACTGAGGTGAACTAGGCTTGTATACCATGTACATGTACTAGTAGTAAATAAAGATCTTTCTTTCAACACGCCGGCCGTATCCCACCGAGGCGGGGTGGCCCAAAAGGAAAAAGGAAAGTTTCTCCTTTTACATTTAGTATTATATACAGGAGAAGAGGTTACTAACCCCTTGCTCCTGCATTTTAGTCGCCTCCTACAACACGCATGGCTTACGGAGGAAGAATTCTGTTCCACTTCCCCATGGAGGTAAGAGAAAATAAAAAGGAACAAGAACTAGTAAGAAAATAGAAGAAAACCCAGAGAGGTGTGTATATACAGTGGACCCCCGCTTAACGATCACCTCCCAATGCGACCAATTATGGAAGTGTATTTATGTAAGTGCATTTGTACGTGTATGTTTGGGGGTCTGAAATGGACTAATCTACTTCACAATATTCCTTATGGGAACAAATTCGGTCAGTAC